TTAAGATGATATAGACTTAAAGACTAATAAGATGGAAATGTGTTATCTGAATAGAGCAAAACATTAAGCCATCAACACTACAATAACATGACCAGAAATTAGTTTTTTAGCTAGTGGAACATAGTGTGGTGAAGTGACATTTAAAGACCTAACTTTCTATGAGGCTTTTGCACCTATTAAAACTCTAGGATTTGGTGTCATCTTTTATTGTGGTTAAAAAAAAAAAAAAACAAAACCCACACAAGATTAAATTTACCAGCCAGGCACGGTGGCTCACACTTGTAATCCCAGCACTGTGGGAGGCTGACGCAGATGGATCACGAGGTCAAACGATCGAGACCATCCTGGCCAACATGGTGAGACCCTGTCTCTACTAAAAATACAAAACTTAGCTGGGCATGGTGGCATGCGCCTGTAGTCCTAGCTACTTGGGAGGCTGATGCAGGAGAACTGCTTGAACTTGGGAGGTGGAGGTTGCAGTGAGCTGAGATTGTGCCACTGCACTCCAGCCTGGTGATACAGCTAGACTCCGTCTCAAAAAAAAAAAAAAAAAAAGATTAAATTTACCATTTAAGTATATATTTTAGTTGCGTTAAGCATATTTACACTGTTGTGCAACAATCTCTGGAACTTTTTCACCTTGTAAAACTAAAACTTTATACTCATTAAACACTAATTCTTCCCTCTACCCTCTCTGCCCAGTCCTTGGCAATCACCTTTCACCTTTTTGTTTCTATGATTTTGACTACTTTAGATACTTCATATGAGTGGAATCACATAGTATTTGTTAAGATTGGCTTATTTCACTTAGCATAACGTCTTCCAGGTTCATCCATGTTGTAGCATGTGACAAGACTGCCTTTTACTTAAGCCTGCATGATGTTCATTGTATGTATATTCCACAGTTTTTTTATCCACTCATCTGCCAATGAACATTTGGGTTGCTTCCAGCTTTTGGCTATTGTGAATAACACTGCTATGAACATGGGTGTGCAAATATCTCTTTGAGTTCCTGCTGTGAATTGTTTTGGATATATATACTCAGAAGTGAAGTTGCTGGACCATATGGTAACTCTATTTTTAATTTTTTAAGAAACCTTTATACTGCTTTCCATAGTGACTGTACAATTTCACATTCTCACCAACAACACACAAGGGTTCCAATTTCTCTGCATCCTCACCAACAGTTGTTATGTCCTGTTCTTTTGATAGTAGCCATCCTAATGGATGTGAGATGGTACCTCTACAACCCCAACATTTAACATTTTCAATTTAATTATATGATTACATGTTGAACTCTGTCACTAGACAATCCTAGAGTGTCTTCTTCAGTGGCACAGGGTCCTGGTATACAACAAATATTTGTCAAATTTATGAATGAATGAAAACAGGACAGAGAATGGATTAACAAGATTTAACACAAAGTATGTACGGTAAAGTGTGATTAAGGGCATTTGGTTGTTTTTTGGTCAAGTTCGGTTGAGGCTTCTGCTAAGCTTGGGTAAATAGATTTACTGTTATTGTCCTTCTAAAGACGATCCTTGATTTTCAAAAAGCACAGAGAGTAATAATTCTTGATATTTAGACTACAAATTAGTGGCAATAAACAAGATTAATTTATCAGAGACATAGTACAAATCTCTGGTGCACATCAATATTTTTGAACAGAAAGCACAACAGGAACTTGATTCAAGTTCCATTCCATCAAACCGATTTCAAAAGAATTGTCAAATAAATACAACTTCTGCCAAGCAAGCAGGAAGTAGAAAATTACCCAATAAAAGGGAAAAGCCAGAGGATAAAAAGCTTACTGTGGCCTGTATAAACCTGTCTACTCATTTAAAGGGATGTTATCTTGAAAAGTAAAGTTTTAAGGTAAATAAATGAAAATGCCTATTTACATAGTTGATATAGTAAGAGAGTTTTTTCATACAAATGTGTACAGTTTACAAAACACTTTTAAGTGTAAGTCCCTCTGAATGAAGAGAACATTTGCATGTATCAAGAGTGCTAGGCACTGAGCATTATAAAAATATTTATATGTCATCAACTGCAAACATTTATTGAGTGCTAGTTAATAGCATATTCTTAACTCATGAAAGTCATTAAGTGCAGCTACTTTCCTCGTTTTCAAAATGCCCTTGCCATTTTAAAACCAGAATACTGTGCTAGAATATATGGCTACTCTTCTGACCTTTGCTTCCTGTTATGAATAGGATCAAGAAACTTGATTTTCTTTGTATTTAAAATTACACTTAAGATTTTGAGGCATGGGGAAGCTAGAAGTTCCAATTAGACAGACTAAGAAATCAACTTTAACATGATAATGGCAACAATCCCACACGCATTTCATCCCCAACATTGCTTCTAAACACTTGGTAAAATAATAAAGTGGCTTTAGTCATTTTCCCAAACATGTGGTCTAACAGCTATTCCTAAACATAGGGTTAACTTGTTTGGGGGTCTAGACATCACAAGGCAAATTGGGAAACCTCTCAGAAAATCAGAAAAGCACTTGTGCATCTCAAATTTCTACTAAGCACTTTTTAAATTGTACTGTGGATTTTAAATGCTTACAGAAAGAATTCATAATACCTATGCACACATACCATACCTATTTCCAATGTTCTAATCCCTCTTTTAAAAGATTATTAAATGAATCATACAGGGTACAGAATGACTGCATCCTGTTTAAATAATAAAAATGAATAACTCTATATATACTATCCAGCTTAATAAAACATTACTGCTACACTTGAATACTTTCATGATACATAACAATGACCAAGACCATATCTACTCTGTAATATACAAAAAGTTCTTTTCAAATACTTCATCTTATGTAATGGGAAATTTTTTAGTCTAATGCCTTAAGCATTACCCCTACCTCATAGCTACCATCTCCTTTCAATGCTTGCTTGTACCTCTCAAAATTCTTAAGTAGCTCATGGAATATCAAAGGTAGATAAACTGAAATCAGAATTCACTCTACCAATTCTTGTCAGTCTTTTTTCAGAGACATAATTGATGGCTCAAATCAAGATGCCTTCCTTTAGCTTAGTCATCATGCACACACTCACACACATTCAATCTCTGAAAAGAAAAATAGGATTGTCGGTAGAAAGAAATTGGTAGAATTCCTTTAGATGGCAATTAGACAATGTATATTGAAGTTTAACATGTGTATATTTTTGATTTAACGATTTTGTTATTAGGAAATTACTAGGTTAATTTTTACACTTACATGGAATGATATATAGGAAAGAATGTTCATAGCCAATTCTGAATTATCTGGAGTACCCCATAGCGCTAAATTACCCACAGCCTGCTATATAATACAATTACCCAATGTCTGCTATAAAACACAATATATATGCCTAAATTTTTTTCATAACTTTGACAATAAAATTAGGTCTTAGTCTGAAGTCAGTTATATCACTATAGTCATACTGGATACTTCTATTATAAACCTTTACTTCTTCATTATGCCATCAAAAAAATCATTATGCCATTTTCAGTTCTTTTCCACAGAGTATCAAAACTCCCTGGCCAGGCACAGTGGCTCACACCTGTAATCCCAGCACTTTGGGAGGCCGAGGCATGCGGATCACTTGAAGTCAGGAGTGTAAGATCAGCCTGGTCAACACGGTGAGACCCCGTCTCTACTAAAAATACAAAAATTAGCCAGGTGTGCTGGTATGTGCCTGTAATCCCACCTACTTGGGAGTCTGAGGCAGGAAAATTGCTTGAAACCAGGAGGCGGAGGTTGCAGTGAGCCAAGATTACGCCACTGCACTCTGACCTGCGCAAAGAAGCGACACTCCATCTCAAAACAAAACAAAACAAAACAACTTCCCAATTAGAGTCTCACAAAATCTTCCTTCTCCCATAGTTATCTACTTTTATCAAATTTAACCTCCAAAATCACAAATTACATCAGTCATGCTCCTAAAAATATGATAGATCCCCACTGCCTAAGAAGAAAGCCTCAAGTTCTGGCATTCAAAAATCGCCCTCCTTCTAACCTAGAATCTTTCTTCCTTCCTTTACCCACATCCCTCTAGGTAGTAATGTTCTAGCCTAGCCAGTCTAACCAACCATTCCCCAATCACAGTGGACAATTTCTTACCTCTTGTCATTATCCATACCAATTACTCTGAGTAGAACGCCCTTTCTACCTATTTTTATTTATCTGAAGTCTATTCATTCTTCATAGCCTAACACAAATGCTACCCCTTCTCTGTGATATCATTCTACACTAAAAATTAATTGCTCATCTTGTACATTCTCAAAATACTATCACACTCCATAGCATTTATTTCATCCTGCCACATATTAGAGATCAGGGGTCTCCAACCCCCACCTCCAGCCCCATACCAGTCCCACGGCCTATTAGGAAGCGGGCTGCACAGCAGGAGGTGAGTGGTAGGCAAGTGAACATTACCACCTGAGCTCTGCCTCCTGTCAGATCAATGCTGGCATTAGATTCTCATAGGAATGCGAACCCTATTATGAACTGCACGTGTGAGGGACTGAGGCTGCACGCTTCTTATGAGAATCTAGTTCCTGATGATCTGAGTGGAACAGTTTCATGTTACAACCATTCCCCCACCACCCCATCCTTGGATAAACTGTCTTCCATGAAACCAGTCCCTGGTGCCAAAAAGGATGAGGATCACTGTTATAGATTGTTCTGTACATGTTAATCAGGGTCAACTTTCTAGTTATTTCTATATCTTTCTCGGGCACAGTGTTTTATACATAGCAGGTATTTAATAAGTATTTGTAAACATGCACTTAAACAATGGCTAACTTTTTTCATATATTTCTCAGAGCTATAAATCTTTATAAAACTATTTTGGATTCTTCAATAAAATAACTGAACTTCTTGGAATACATGATCATTTAAAACTCAATAGATTTTTCAGAGGGTTGAAACAGGGTAGCCCATTATCTTTATTTGACCTATCCCCACCCAAATAAAAAAATTAAACAGTTACCTTTTCAACATCTGAGAGAGAACTTAGTGATTGATTTTGAAGAACCTCTGGTGCAGTGAATGCTCGAAGATCCTGATTGGAAATATTTTCATCTGTAAATGATACACTACCAGATGGCAGCAACAGCAGAGACCACGGAGAAATGATGAAGCCAACAGCAGCAGGATCAGCTAGGCTTACTGGTTTGTAATTGCACCAAAATAAAAAAAAGAACAAGAAGAAAATTGCTTAAAATTATAATCACAGGAAACAGTAATCACTTCAATGGATAATCCAGCCTATTTGTATAGATGTTAATGAGTAGTTAACATATACCAAATCAACATGCTACAAAAAGATTGGGTTTCATATAAATACAACAGGTAGCATTATTAACAACAATGCCTTGATTTGGCTTAATTTTTCAAAATCTGGATAGCAGATCCTAGAAGCTAGAAATAGAGCCCTTTCATTGTTCGTCTTAAGAATTAAACTTGGTTCAAATGTTTTATCACAGGGATATATAGATATAGGATAAGGATTAATAGCTCTTTAACTTTTTATGAATTATGTATTCCTTTAAGAAACTGGTGAAAGGTGTGGTTTCTCTCTCAAGGACATTGCCCATAAATATAAAGCTCTGTATAAATTCTGAAGTTTTATGGATCTACTTATAACCCATTTATAGATTCCCAAGTTAGGATTCCGATTTAGACTATAGTGTCCTGAAATTGATAGAAATCAATTCCTTTTAAAATTCGTATTAGGCATTCACAAGGTTTCTAACTACAATGAAATGTCTTGAGTCAAAGTATATATTTTGCTTGAATTTAGATTTTATCTTATTTACATTTGCTCATTATTTCACTAGCATTTCAGGCAGCTTGTTTTGTACTACCAAATATGATCAATGCGGTCTCTTAACTTTTTGTTTTAATGCTTGGCTGTATAGACGTCCAAGAGCTCACACCTAAGAGTATTAACAAAAATACATTCCCTAGACACCAGCAGGCCTCCACCTAAAAGTAAAGCTGTACTTTAGGCTCAACAAAACAGACTGATTAGAATAAACTTCATTTTGTCCCTCATCTCAAAAGTAAGTTAATACAGGTTTTAGGAAAACTGCTAGGTGAACTTGGTTACAGACTCAAGATAACAGCTATAGAAAAATCACAAAAGGCCTATGACTGAAATTCCATTATTCAGTCTGAATAAGTTATACTGATATCACTCTGTCAAATGATAAGACATTGACAGAAGTTTATGCAAAAGTTTATCATACAGTATCTATACTTTCCTGAAAACAATCAGAACTGAATTTTTTTTATCAGAACTGAATCATTCTGACTTTTTAACCTCTATCTACCATCAACATGATCAGAATATGACTTATGATTAAAAAGTAAACTACTAAGAGTCATTCTTACTTTGAAGGTTAAAAATCTGCTTTTTTATGAATCTGAGACATGTCTTTAATAATGGTGTCAAAGAAGAAAAATGTGTTTGAATGCATCTTTTAATCAGTCACCACATCTTAGGTTGCACTGAAGTGGTGTTATAGACCAATGGTCCTCAAAGCCTTAACCAATCATACATCAGACTTCTGAAACTTAGTTCACAATTGTTATTGCCAAATACATTTCAATGAATCATTTCAATGAATCATCACAGCTCACAATCTTAGGTGTATGCTGTTGTATTTTACAGTCACTGTACAAGTTTTCTGTTAAAAGCCGCCTCTTAGTTATTTCATACACAGAGAACACACAATCTAGCTAGAAAAGAACTGACAAAGCAAAACAATATCTCCCTTGCCAAAAGATACCATTCAAAACCGTGAGATTTCATGTCACAGATATTATAAAACAATCTAAAATCAATTTATGTCAAATTATCAACTAAGGGGAACAAACACTAGGAGGCCAATTGGGAAGGCAATGCGCTAATAATCTGGTGTGAGATGATGATGGCCTATAAGCACAGTGGTGGCGATAGAGGTGGTGAGAAACTGCCGGAAACTGAAGATATTTTAGAGGTAGTGACAACAGAATTTCCTGACAGATTGGATGTGGAATGACAGAAAAAGAAGACTCTGGATGACATCGAAGTTTTGATCTGAGTAATTGGAAGGACAGAGTGCCATCAACAGAGATTGTCTGAAATAGTGCAGGCTGCTGAGGTGGGGGTTAGGAGGTGGTGGCAGGAATTAGAACTTTGGGACCTATTACATTTAAGATATCTGTTATATATTCAAATGAGGATGTCAATTAGGCAATTTGATCTGAAATGTGAGATAAAAATCAGAATTACAGATATATTTTGGGAGTTGCTGGCCTACTGGATGCTATTTAAAGCCATGTGACTTGATGAGGTCATTAAAAAACAAAAAACAAAAAAAACCCACAAGAGGTAAGATAGAAAAGAAATGAAGACCAAGGGGACTGAGCCCTGGGGTACTCCAACATGCAGACTGCTCCTTCTCGGTCTGGTTTTTTTTTTTTT